AAATAAACAAATAAATAGGTGAAGTTTCCGGCGTCCGAATAGTTTACATTTCGTCAGATGGAAAGTCGTCTCAATCGGCAATCCCTGACCTTTTTGCCTTGTATTCAGCGAGCTCCGGATTCACTCAATATCAGTACTTCTTGGTTGGATGTCTTGGCAATTCGGAAAGCGATCAATGAGACCGGTTCTATGGAAAAGAAGACTTAACCAGTGCTTGAATGCTGAGTTCTTGCCTTTCCGGGATCTTGCTCGCTAGGGAGATGATGAAAAAAGGGCCATATTGTCTTTGTACAGCGAGCAAATAGGATGGAATTGACGTATGCGGAAATGAGGGAGGTGGGGGCTGAGGTAGTGAATTTGTTAAGGGAACATCGGGATCACTTCGTGTATATGATGTAGATGCTCACTTTTTTCCTTGAGGAGCCATAAAATGCGCATTGATTTCCCCATGCTATGGATTCTAATGAATTGATTCACACATCGTTATTCTATGAGGTTCTCTCGTGATTGCTGAGACTCAGAGCTTTTGTCCAGCTTTCAGTGTAAATGTCTTATGGCACTGTTCAATCCCATTCCTGGAATGCGCCCTCCATTCAACTCCCATTCGTAGTAGCGTTTTGAATACATATGCGGTCTCTGAAAACACTTGCCGTGGCCAGCCAATACATAGTCAGCGTTTTTCCTCCCTTGGCGAATCTAGTACAAATTAATCAACTTTAGAGAAATGAAAGGCTCAATTGGCATGGGCGAGTATGCGTATCGACTCGGGATTCGATCCTCGCACAAGCGTGTGTGATAGTCTGCCACTTGTCACTATACCGCATCCGCCTTCGAATTTTTGATTATGATATATTACTTGCGTCAACGCCCTTACAGGCAGGGTTTCTGTGGAGAAGTTGACACTCAAAGAGAACGATGAGTCCCAAGTGCTTTACAACTCTTAGCAGGAGTCAATAGTAACTAGTTTAGTTAGATTGGAATGGATGACTGCTGGGAATGCTCTAGAACTTACCCCACAAGCTGCTCATCCGACCAAGAAAGTAGCAGTCAAGATATCTGGTAATATGGGAGTAGTTAATACACTTTGATTCGTCACGTGCTTACAAATAAGCCCTACTAACAAGCATGAAAAGTCTCCATGATCACAGTGACTCCTTTATTTATTCCCACTTACTTGTTTATTTATTCATTCCTTTATTTATTTGGTCATTTATTTATTTACATTGTCCTCATCCATTTTACATGCTTTCGTGCTATCTCATTTCATTGCATACCGTTGATTGTACTCGTGTGTTAATCAGGAAAATCAAATTATTTCAAAGAAGTTCCCTATGTCGAAAATTAAGGCTCAAGGCACATCAGTAAACTAAATTAGAACAGAAATTAAAAACGAGGGTGTGAAAACAAGAGCAAATTGGACTTGATGACTGGATGCCTAGTTAGAGAGTCGAGCCTCAAAAATACGCTTTTGGAAACCGAAAATAGGAAAAGAAGTTTTGGCCGAATTCCGCAATCCAACTTTCTTCTCTGCTATTGTTCTTATAAGCCAGTTTACAGAACTGAGCAGACTGCTCTATGGCCGAACTTTTGACCAAATCAGGGATTGCAGTAACGCCTCTCTATTCTTAGTCCTTTATCTATGCTCTATTGCTCGAAGTTCTTAAACTTTCTCTGGATTTTTTGAATGAATTTCTTCTCGGTACATTCAATGGCTCTTCTGCAACTCTCGTCATTTTTGGCATTTCTAAAATGGCTCATCCCAAGGTACTTGTATACTTCCAATGGCCTTTTGACTGCACGAACTCACGTAACTGTGCATAAGAAGCTTCCAGATATGGAGAGGATGGTTAATGCCTCCTCTTACTCTTCCCCACTCTATGGTTACGGGGAGGAGTGAGTAGTATTTGACTAGCTCACTGTACCGACTTACTTTCCTAAGACACATGTAGTTACAAAGCAGCCGGTGAATTAGTCAGCCAAGAAAAGGGTCTACAAATAATCAAAACGGTGAACGATCAAATAAATGCACAAAAGCCATCCATTCAAGGTGAATTTCCGGTGGTGGCGGCAGACAGGCCGGCCGAGCAGCTGACCTTTGCCGAAAAAAGAACTCGTTGTTGTTAGTCATACGCCCGACCGCAATTGTTGTCTTCAAACAGTAGGGGAGCAAGGGGGAAGGCGCTCGGAAAGGGCGTCACCCGACGAACTCGCGCGCGATTCCCGACGGACTGCGGAACGATACGTCGCTGAACTTGTCCAAAAACCCCGTTTGCGCATTGATTCATCAGTGATTTCCAGAACGGCGCTGCGATGTCTTCCTGCAGCTCGTCGCCGTCCAAATACCATCCTTAATCAGCACATAACTGTTTTTATTTGTTAAATATTCCAGATTTCATGTGCTGAAAGTAAAGTTAAAGTTTAAGTAAACTTTAACTTTACTTTCATGTGCTGGCAGGGGGAAATTACTTCCTCCGACTGCCGTTTAGCTGCCGATTGGCAATAATCAATTGAATCAACAATTTTAATGTGAACCTCTTGCGATATAACTGCTGTTCGTGCAGCACACCACACCTGGACTTGTCTTTGTTCATTTCTTCCCAGGCTTCGAAAGAAATCACCCCAAAAAGTTCAGGATCTATTCAGGCGTCGAGAGTGTTCTATTCATATTTGCTCCATCCTCCCTCGGCCTTGGCTTTCTTGGCTGGATAGTCGCTTTTGCACATGCTTACGATTATAATGAAGTCTAGTTGATCAATTATTTGTTTGTTTGTTAGGTTTTGTGTTTGTTTACTTTATTTATTACTATTATCATCTATTTCTTTATGCATTCCCCTATTTTGATTCTATAATTTCTTTATTGTATATTTATTCAATACTTATTGTTATGCATCTAAAGAGGAATATTAGAGAAAGAATGAAATGAGGGTTTAAGGAATCGTCACAATCTCGTAGAGCAATTAAATTTTTACAGTGTGAGCGAAATTATGACGTAGCCACCAGTCGTGCTTCATCGCTCTACTGATTCTGAACGAGAGTCGAATATGTGGCGCACTCTTATGAATTTGACCACCTTGTTTATCCCAGCCAGCTGACGTCCACACAGCGCTTGCCCTTTACTAAGTAGTTTCTTTTTCGAACGGATTATTATTGTTATTTATTATCTATTATTTTTCTATTGTATTATACCATCTATTAAATCAAACAACTATCTATCACATGCATATAGTACGTTTTATTATTCAAATTGCTTCCTGGTCTATATTGTTTGAATCGTAACACATTGTTTTTTTTATTGTGCAACGCATTTATATTGATTATTACAGCATTTATCATATTTTATTTACTATTTACTTACTTTATTTTTTTATCAATGTATGCTACAAAAATGGCGCCTTTAAAACAATATCACATTTAAATGCAAAAATTATTTTTTAATCAAAAGCTCCCAGTCATAGCAAGGCCTATTTGAACCTGCAAGGGAAACGTCTATAAGTGATTATTTTAGGGGATAAAAATAGAAAGGGCAAACAGTGCTAATAATCACTTTGTTTTTTGATTATTTATTTATGTTATATTTCTTAAAATTACTCCTTGCTTTTTAGTGTTTAATTCTTTTTTATTTTTGATTTTGTATTTTAATTTATGGACCACCTATTCATATTTATTCTATAATCTCGTTCGTTCGTTATAATTCCAATGTCTACCTGGGAATCTTCTTCCGTCACGGAGAACAATAATATACTGTGCTGTAATAAGAAATGAAAAAATGTATGAAAAATGAAAAGAAAAAATGTACTGTAATAGTCATTGTTGTGTTATTTTTGATTATTATAATTATATTTCTTTGTGCCTAATTTACATTGATTTATATTTCGTAGGTATGTTGATTTTATTTCTATGCTGTATGTTATCATACTGCTGTTGTTGTTTAATTTAAAATTGTCGATTATTTTAATTTATTTCATTTATTGCCAATGTGTTTCATTTGAATTTCATTTTCATTTAATGATTGACCGTTTCACATTTGATTTTATGGCTTATTTCTTTTCAATAATTAGGATGTTTTCTGCGAAATTAACATGCGTGCATGGACATTTTTCTTATTGATTCCAATGGACGGACCATAGAGGGATGGATAGTCTTGCAGGTTCATCGGAATGTTGGTCCTTTCTGGTCCTTCAAGGTCTGCAAGCATTAAGCGATCGCCGTCAGGGCAACTTTTCCTCTTTATAACAACTTCGAAAATTAGGTATTGAAAGGGCCGTTTTTTTGTTTGTAAACACTACCAGAGACGTTTGTTTATCCTTCACTTGGGATAGACAAAGGTCTCTGGCCAAATACTTGGTGAATTTTGAAAATATCAAAAAAACCCATTATTGATTTGGAAACCGATTACAGTCTTGCCTTCATCTTTTCCTTTATATTGCTCATGGTAAACTATTCCAATTCGTCTTCTTTGCTGTATTTCTTGATTGGCCGACTTGATCGATTGTTTTGTAGAAATGGCCGAAAATTGAAATTTTCAACTTTTTTCAGATCATAAAATGGGCAATGCGTTATATACAGACCAGGGAGTCTGCTATGACACAGTGGAATATTGTGAGTCTGATGTTTATTAGTGTTTTTTTACCGTCGGTGTATTTATTTGAAATTACTTAATTGTTTACTCACCGATTTACCTCTCTACTTTAACCTCAATACCTTTTGGGAATTCCGCTGGTTTTTTAGGCATCCAGCAAGTACATTTAGATCCTTTACGACCTGTCCTAGGAACTTCGAGATGGACAGGCCCTACCCTTCACACTCAGACCGGGCTCAGAAAGAAAAGCCATGAAAGGTGGAAGTTGGGTGGCACCAATTGTTCCCTTCTCCCCTCTTGAACAAAGTGTCTATACATTTTTCGTTCCGAGTTGTTTGGTCCTTAATCGAGTCCAAATATCCCCTAAAGGATAAAGGGTTTTTGGCCTGGGCGGGTATCGATCGAATGGAATCCTCAAGACGAAGAACTGGGAACACTTAGGAACTTATTCTGCACTATCACCAGGCAGTTGACCATAGATTTTAAGGCAAATCCATGTGCCCAAATGGTGAGTGTGTATACGCCGACAAATGTAATGGAGCCGAGAGGAAATACACATGTCTACCTTTTGATTTCCGATTCGTTACGTGAGTTTTGCCATGTTCCTATTTTACTCCTTTCTCATTCCTGTTGGTGACATGTATGGAACAAGCTGGTACTGACAAATGGGTGAGAAAGTAACTGAAACGAGAAGATATACTGATCAGGGTAGAACAGGCGCTCCTACAAACTATGATCGCGAAAATAGCATCCGTTTTCCTCGAACTATGAGCAAGATATGAAGCTAGGAGTGGCTTATTCCACAAGTAGAAAGATGACGAAGATGGAATATCTGTAGAAGCGGGGGTCCATTGACGTAGCGATTGTGCCGCAGCGCTACCGCACGCGTCTCAGACCCGTCACCTGTAGAGGATTACCGACCGGTTCAAAAATTGGAAGAGTATTTGCTCATAGATCCTATAAAGTGATAATGATTCAAATATCAGGTGGCTGATGTTCGGCTGCTTCGTGATCGTTTTGTTGGTATGTTCATCATTGGTCGCCTGCTATGTCTGTCGAGCTATTCGGGCTTCTTTACGATGGCAAACCGCCCACACTCCACATCATGAAGTCGTGTTCAACAATCCCGGACGTATACATCATATCGAAATGGACAGCGGTCGTCATAAAATCGTACCGACTCAGCGGCGTTGAAGTTTTTACGCTCGTTGTCTCTCTCCCACACTATCTAACTCTCCCTATTTGCCTCTTTTCTGCCCCTCTTTGCCTGTTCATTAGCCATATCTTCACCATAACCCTCTCATTATCTGTCTGCTTTTCAATTTTCAACATAAAGGGTCAAAATGTCCTGCGATTTCGTCTTGTTCATTGCCTTACATTACTGTGACTATATGACTAACTGTTTTGTTTAGAATTGTACAGCCTCACTAAATATATGCAGATGTATTTTAATTCTGTCTGTTCCATTTTGAGATGTAACATTGTAAGTTTTTATATCAGTTTTATATCAAACACTCGATCGATGAATTCTCCCGAAAATTCTTTTTGAAAATCTGAAGTTTGTGAATGGATCTGTCTTACTGACAGTTGATACGTGTGATTGTTTTCATTCGTTAGATTCGCAGAAGAACTAGCACCTAGTAAATGAGGAGTGTGGGTGGCAGGAGGCGGGCCACCTTATAATTCATTGCTCCGGGGCCTACTCGCTAATAGACGTTAGCAACCTGGGAGCAGCCTTGACGCTACTCGTCAGGAAGTGCTCTTTTTCAAAGCTGAGCGCTAGAGCGCAGACCGATTGGCTGCTTTCATAGTCGGCCGGCGTGCCACGAGGCAGTGCTAGGGTCGGCCGGCGTGCCACGAGGCAGTGCTAGGGGGAGGAGGACGGCAGCCGCTCGAAGGGCTGGAAACAAGGAGAGACAAGAACAAAAACCATTCGTACAAGCCCCTGGTTGTTTGTTTTTTGTATTGTTCTTCTTTGTTTTCAACCCTTCGACCGACCGTCTGCCGCCCTCCNCGGCCGGCGGAGTATGAAAGCAGCCATTCTGCGAGCTCATAAGGTGGCAGGGAAAAAGTTTTTTTTTAACTGAGCCTTGGGAGGGAAGGAGCATCGGGTTGGGTGTGTCAACGGAATGCTCAGTCCTTACATGATCCCAGCTTTCTGCTCAAGAAAATGTGCTTCTCCCCTATTCGGGCTCAGGTAAAAACTATATCCCTTCGGGTAAGAACATCCTTATAGCTATGACGTGAGCACAAGTAAGGTCACTTAGCGCCAGTCTACTCTACGCTCTAAGCTCTCAGTGTTGGTTAATAGCGCCCTCCCCCTCCCCCAAGTATGTTTTCACCAAAATCCCATTCTAAAATTCAATGCCGTCTGATATTTTGACAACATAATGGCGAGAATCTCAATTATGGCCAACCCTACGCCAGCTCTCAGCAAATTTGAAGGTAGGAGTAATCGAAGAGGGATACATGCCGAGGATGATGAAAGTATTGTCAAGGTGGTCCGAAGGTAGGAAATGGCTCAAAAGATGGTTGATGATGTATCATCGCTAAATAGGAAAGACAATCAATCGACTCGGGCGACCAGGGGTGTTGAAGTTCCGATCAGCTCCGATCAACTATTGACAGACCACCTATTGACCACCTCGACATGTTCCCTTCAACTTAGGTGACTTTGATGCGCATGGGGTTTTTGCAAGGTCTAGTAAGAAATGAGTGCTAGTAATACATCTTTAGTTAGGGTATTACCTAATGCTTTTCGGTTGTAAGCTTAAATATAGCATAAAAGATGATTTCACATCAAGCTCATGACCTCCGCAATCATCATATCGATATCGATATCGACACGGGCGGTATCGAAACCTCTCATTATCTTCTCCATCTTCTGGCTCGCTGGCGTGGTGCTGTACTGCTATTCAGCTGATTCAACTAATTGGATTAATTGGAAATCGCCAACAGGACAGAAGAAGAAAGCCTAATCAGTAGTCCGAACTCCAAAGCAGCTTCCCCGGCAAGCTGGAGGTAGGTATGAAATGTTTTAATAGCAAATTTTTTTAAGCTTCATTTCGTGGAGAGGTTCATTTTTTGTATACTGGGTTAGTTTCGGGAGGCTGTTCTTAGCTAGACGAATATGCAGCTTCTGCATAAGCTTTATAAGGGGAGTAGCACCAGGCGGGTGAGGTGATTACTTGGCAGAAGCAAGAAGCTACGATGAGGAGTAAGAATTGAGTACTTAATTGACTCACCAAACCTGGTGCTCCTCCCCTCGTAAGTCATAGGTACAAAACTGTTTACCTATACCTTCTACGTAACAATCCTAAACACAGGTGAACAGTATTGATTAGCCAACTTCGCTGAAAAAGAGCCGTGCCACCCTCTTTCTCAACCACATTTTCACCAATTGCCTCTTTTCGTAAATGTTCTTTGATAGCCATCTCCTTTTTTTGCAAACTGTCTGAATTAATACAGCAAAAGTCTGACTTTTCTCTCAATTCCTTCAAAAAAAAAGTCAACTTTTGCCCTATTAATTCACTTGGTGTTAGCACGGACGTATTTCACCGGCACCAAGGAAACGATTTGTAGATAACGCGTTCTTTATACCTGGCCAACTGCCCGGAATATACTCAATCTGTTGTTGATGTGATTAGCAGCCTAATAGGAATTCATTGGCAAGTTCGAATAGCTGCAGATTTTGAAGAGTAATTTATATTCATTCATTAATAACGTTATAGTTAGTGATGCTTAGATAGACGAGAAAAGACGGCAATCCTCGTAAAAAGTAATGGTTGGGGCTCCGAGTCTGTTGAAAACGAGTCCATTGACTACCGCCTCAAATGGATTGGAATGAGACGTCATGAAGGAGAACGTGTTATGTCTTTGCTCCAGAATCCCAGACCAGCGAACTCTTTATCGTAACGAGTGGATTAACTGAAATAACATCACAAGGGCACCACTTCACGAGTTGTTCCGGTTTTCTTGGTGCAGGGGAACCATGTTTTCTTCCCGCTGAAAGTTCATCTTTGAAGAGTTTGGCAAAACAGCAACAGTTCAAGTCGCTGTGATAGGGGACTGCGCTGAAGCAATACATTATACCCATGGGAATGCCGTCGCGTGACAGGTGTCATTCCTCGTATGATGTAAGATGGATTTTTGGTCGTTATTTTCGGTTTACTTGTTGAAACCACTGGGGGAACTTTTTCGATAAAGTTGTCGGATGTTCAGGCTTTTTTTTTGTGGCTAAGGTGTACCAGAATAATTAAACTCGTCTTTGTGGGGCGATCTTTGCTTACGTTGTTTCGAGAAAGTTGTTTACTTAATGTTCGTGTGGGGTCTTGCTTTTATGGAACATGCGCAGATGGGCTAAAAATGTTGAGCTATGGAAAAGGGTATCAAATTCACTGAAATAGGGACCGATAGAGTGTCAGGAATAGACGACACGGATCGAAGCCGTGGCCTACCAGAATGTCTACAGTCTGGTAGGCCATTGTTTCGATTCGTGTCGAGGAAAAGCCGTGTATGCAGAAAACAGTGACGTTTTCAAGATCACATTCAGGTTGGCAGACTGACTCGTTGAGATTTCTAGTCAAGGCAAAAATGGTTGCCACCTCAACGAGTCGGCCTACCTAATTTCAGAGAAAATCAGTTACAATACTAGAACGTCACCAAGATTTGATAACCGGAATCTTTGTCCGTACTTGGAGATAGCGACTGCTAGTGACTGGTGAACGACCTCGGTTGAGAAGTTAGAATGTAATCACCGACTAATGGATCGCTTGCTAGAAAATCTGCAAAAGTTGTTGTTCCTATGAGACAAGAGAACTTAACGTTCTATGTCTCTGGGCGACACGCTGGAAAGGAGCATGGGTAGAGAATTTGGGGAAGGTTTCGAGGTTACCACAGCGAAGTTAGAACACCAAGCACCGTGGTCATAGCAACTACTAAACCCTTCGAGGACTTGGATTATGTTGACAGCAGGATGAGCGATCAGTGAAGGATATGAGCTGAGGAGGATTTTTGATTGCAGAGAAATAATAGGAACGAGCAGTGAGGTGAATTCTCCGATTTAGCCGCAGTCCACGACTTTGCAATCTGCGGTGGCTCCATCTTTGAAAAAAGGGATCGTCAGAAGATATTGAAGGCAAAGGAGAGGCTAACGGAAATCGGTCTATGTCGAAGGAGATGGTTCTTGAAAACTGTGTTAAGGATATCAGGGGTGATGAAATGGCTTCGTAGCATAGATCTTCGACGTAAAACGCAGCTAGTAAACTTCTCAAAAACTCAAGGGTACAAATGGAATGGAGGAGTCGGTATTTCAGGCGACATCAAACTGAAGAGGCGCTCAAACTGTTGGAACCTCTGGAACTGCTTCCTCAAGTTCCCGGAGCCCATCCATCCTACGTATCAGAACAACGTATTCAACGTCATCCTACAACGTGCAAGGGAAACGCTAAGGTGAAGACGATATCAATTTGAAAAAGTTGTAGAGCAAAAGAAAGATGAGCCCAGGCGATGGCAAAGAAGCAAGCTTCGGTAGGTCTGGTTGTCCACAAAAGTTACGAGAAGTTCGGAGGAGGATACATGAAGCACTGGTGAATATAATTCTGCGAAAGGGATTGACCAGAATGGAGGCTCAGTTGCGGCAAGAAAATCGCTCGGTGATCAGGTGGTTGGGTGGCTCATCTGGTTACTAACCTTTGCTCTGTTGTGGCTTCTGAAGGAAGGATCTTGATGCGTGAAGAAGCAGTACTATCGTTCCCATCTGCAAATAGCAAGGTTGATCGCGCAACTTACGAAACCGTAGAACGATCAGTCAACTCAAGTTTAAGGTTTCAAGGATCTAGAATTGTTCCGACAACCATGGGATCAGCGCATCTATTGTACATGAACGGTCAGTCGACTCAAAGCTGAAGCTTACCCTGACGTGGCATGAACCTCTCGACAACGGATGCAATCTGCATAGCTAGGCGGGTGATGCAGAAAATCTGACAGGAACGCATACTGTCTCCGGAAATTCATGGGAAGCTTACAAGATCTCCAATACGTGGAATTGTTCGATCTGAAGAAGGCGCTCTACCACCTAGGATGTCACTTACTCTGAAGAGCTTTTAAACGATGCAGCTTTGCAAGACAATTGATTGTAGAATTGTAGCAGACGTCAGCAACAGGAGTAACCTCTTCCTATTAACGATGTCGTCGCCGTAAGAGAACTTATTGATGGATCACTGAAAACAACAGCCTTCTCAAGTGCAACGGCACTGGAAGAGGAACAACTCCAGAACAATCTGCAAAAATAGCCTAACACACCACCTTCAATCAAACGTGACAAAAACTACGTTCTAAGGCGCCAAGTCATACCTAGCCACATACATAAAGAAAATCGTCCTGTGAAGGCTCAATAAACGCGGCATTGACGGAGTGAAGAGAATCCGCTTGTATACTTTCCCACCGAAAGTCCTCCAGAATAGTCAAATGAAAAGTGTGCAAAGCTGTAGTGAGGTCTACGGGCAATGAGTGCAGGCCTATGAGTAGAAAGCATGAAATTGAACTTCATTGTGGAAATGAAGCTACTCAGATCGTCGCTGAACGCGTTAAGAACGGCTGAAGAAAGAGAACTGTGCTGAGAAGACTACAGAACCATACCATACGAATGCTTTATAGTTCGAAGCTCAGTTGAAGCAAATACGTGAAGTCCAAAAAAGAATTGGAGAGATGTGATCAACAAGAATAAACCAAGGCAGTGCCGTAGATGGAAGGAACTGGCGAAAATTCACAACAAAACAGGATCGTGCGAATTAGCGGGATTATCGCCAATGAGAAGAAGTAGAGTAAGCCTATGCGAACTAGAGAATCAAGAAGATAAAAGTAAGAGGACGGATGTAAAGGAAGGGGGGAAGAAAGAAGGAAAAGATGAAGGAAGAAGAATAAAGTAAAATAGTTCAAGGTAAAAAAACGAAAAAAAGAAGAAAAGGAGAGAACAAGATGAAAGCATTAGAAAATAGAGATAAGAAAAAGGAAAAATAAGGGAGAAAGATAAGGGAAGGAGAAGGGAGAAGAAGAAGAAAAGGAAGGAACAACATTGAAGATAAGAGAGAAGGAAGAGAAGAGAAAAAGGAGAAAGCTGGAAATGAAAGAAGAAAATGAAAGAATAAGAAGAAGAAAAGGAAAGAGGAAAAGGGAAGAAAACGACTGCAAGAGAAAAGTAGGAACGAGACAGAAATAAGAAGAAAGGAGAGAAGGAAAAAAGAAAACGAAAAAAACAAGGCAAAAAAAGAATGAAGAACAAGTCGAATAAAAGGAAAGGGGAGGGAAGAGAACAGAATAAAGGGAAAAAGAATAAGGAAGAAGAGAGGGAGAGGGAAGTTTTGCCAAGAAGCCATAAAAGCTACACCTCTCAAGGGTGCACCTTCAGGGAATTGCTTATATTGGTTATCTTTGATTTTCCTCGGGTAATCAAAGATATAGAACTTTACTTGTGATATTGATGTTCACCTGCTTCAATTGCTCGCAGAAAAAGGAAGCGATGAAGCGAAACTGGTGTTTGCTGGGTGTATTTGCCGCTCAGTCACCTGGTGTTTTCCGCTTAACTTCATAGGAGCGCTGGAGTGGCTCTCACCGTTGTCAGGCCGGGACGGTACAGTGTGCTGCACAGCGAGTAGACGCCACGTGGCCACGCTAAGCCACGGACTGCGGCCGGCTTCTGTCATCACTCGGGCACCTATTTTTGTCATCCACTAATGGTGCTATTTCTGTCGCAGTTACGATGCAAGGAATATCTGGCGAATTGACTCACAATCTGTAAGGATGGATTTGGACGCAGCAGCATCGCTAGGACGTTCGGATGATTGGATTGTGCGATAGAGTGTGATCATAGATCTACGTATTTTGTACACGTGCTTTAGTGTTGTAAAGTATGTTGTGTATGTTGTGCTGGATGTCATGCTTGGTGCACGGGGCCCGCGGTTGACGCATGTTCATGGTGGGACCCACGTCCAGCGGCTTGAGGGAGCTCGGCTCTTGTCGAACAGGCGCTAGGTGTAGCGCAGAGCCTACTACGCTCGCTCGGCAGACGGTGCGAAGATTCGAAAGCCAGCTCGAGATAACACCATCTTGACGACTGCCGGTTTGAGCGATTTACCGATGCAACGAGCGCTTGGCAAGACGGCCCGGAGAGCGCGCCAACTAGATATTGAAACAAAGTCCGCTCTTTTTCGGAATATCCAGATCGAAGTAGTTTTTATACAATCTCGTAAGCATATGTTTCATCTTCTAGTAGAGATCATCTTTCGAAAGTTAAAGAGAACAGCACTAATACCAGCAGTCTTAATAGTAAACCGCGCTACAACAATTTGTACATTACACCCAGGGTAATCCTAGCATGAGATAGGCGTCATTCCACGAATGATGTGAAGTAAATTTTTGGCCGTCATTTTCGGATTACTGTTAGATAAACATCCTCTCAAATTTGTTGGATGATCAGCTGAATGGCTTTATTTTTGCCGGAATGTCTCGAAATTGAAGGTCTCATCTTTGTGGTGCCGGTTGCCATCGAATTCAAGGGAGAGTCAATTAATCAAAATCTGTCTTGGCTACGTTTTTATGAAAGATGTGTCGATGTGTCGACTGCAAAAATGGTATCGAAGAACCTTTGTAACAACATAAATGGTTGAGGTCACGAAGGATGGTGGATGAAATACAAGGAGTTCATCATGGAGAGCCGTACAGAACCTTTGGTGGAATTCTGTGGATGAACATTTTGAATTGGAGCTTCGATCGTTGGTTCATGGTGCGAAACTTCAGAGATTGCTGATCTGATTAGGCACAGGCATATCCGAGCCTTACGTCTGCAGAAGACACGGTGAAAAGGTGTTGGCAAAGAAATGGTGTGGTCATAAAGGTGATAGCACTGGCGGAGTCCCTTGAGGTCTCTACCTCTGTGGACAGCAACAGCGATCGGATTGGGAAGAGGAGATTGGAAGGTATACCCGAAAGAGTGATACTAGACATTGAGACGGATCAGAGACCGATTGCCCCGACAACAAAAAGGGCGAACTGCATCCAAACTCTGACAGGTCCAACCATGTCAACAGGTCTTCAGTGACAAAGGAATTCACATCAAGTAGCGGATAATCAGAACAGTTCCATTCACAGTGAGGAAGGGGTTCAGAAAGGGTTTGCAATTCCTGAAAAATGACGTTACAAATCAACATTAGAAGAACACATGTGGAGATTCTGCTTGTTGAAGAACTGCGTATTCAATAAAAGTTTTCCCATTAAGAAACCAATAGCCGCTTCTCAAGAAAGCAAAAATAGCAATGGTGCCGAACTCGCTTATGGAAGTCTCACCAAGCGAACAAAACCTAAAGCACAAGGTATTGGAATCTGGTTCTGCAGATTCATAAGTACTAGCACAGCAAACTTGAAGTAGCGCTGTGGAGGTTATCTTGCAAGGGGAACGCTGGACTAAAATCGAGGCGGATTTTGAAGTGACAGGACAGTGAAGTTCTAGAACGTCTCCGCTGCCAGCAGACTTAGCAGTCAGGCCATGGCTGATCTTAGAACCATAATCAAATTGCTGATCCTGGCGAGGATGGACGCGAGAGAAGAGCAAGGAGTGGAGAGTTTCGGAAGGATGCTAGCGAACGCAATGCGAGCCGGTTACCCCGATTGCAAGGGGGAGCAAAGAAGAAAGTTCTTAGGAGCCTTGACGAGAGCGGGAGCGGGCAGTCTTGTCAAAGCGGGTGATCTGAATAGCAACAAGGAACGAAGGACGTGCTAAGGGCCCAGGCAGAGGAGAAAGAGTTAGAAGCTAGGAAAATTCTTGACAGCCCATGATCTAGCGTTCTACAACACCTTTTTCGAGAAAAGGAAGAGTCAGAAGGCGACTTCAGATCTGCAGAGAGACGAACGAAATCGATCATGTACCCTGAAGGGAATGTTCTTCAGACCACTGAGGATATCAAGAGCGATGAATCGGCTCTGCTGCACAGGCCTCTGTTGTGGACGTCATTGAGCTCATCAAGGAATCAAGAGTTGAAGTGGAGCAGGTGTCAAGAGCCGCACCAAGAAGGGGAGTAGCCGGAGCGATGGGTGCTGAGCCTACAATGTGCATTAGAAACTCCAGGGGGTAACAAATGAGGATTTATAGGAGACAAGGCGGCATGTTTGTGGACCACTGAATTCCATAGTTTGCAATGCAAAGAGAGTACAGGCGCTGGGAACAAAGGAAGGAACTAGCCTGCATGGGTGCTAATCAAGGCATGGAAGGCGAGCATGAGGATACAAGGTCCTATCAGTTTTGAAGACTGTTACTGCTGAATGAGGAATCCTACAAGGAAGGTCTTTCAGGGCGTGGGACGCTTTTTGAAAATGGTTTTTTGCATGGTGTAGGGGCATGAGCACTGTGTAAGAACTATGGTCCATTTCCGCTAAATGGCCTTCTGAATGCCAAAAAAGTTGTGAAAATGATTTTGCCAGGAATTGCCGTTTTATTCCATTTACCGTCGTTCGTATCATTCATGGCGTCGACTGTCACCACAGTAGAAGGGGCTAGTGGAGGCGACATTGAAAACAACGTGAACGGTAGTCAAAAAAGGGACCCACATGTTGAAAAGTGCGGGGAAGTTGCATATAGGCTCTCACGGTCGAGCTGCCGGCAGCGTCCGATGGTGTGGTGGAGAGCGATGTGGACTTCGAGTAAGGATGACTAGGTTGGGTTAGTGGTTCGGATTTCCGAGGCTCTGTCGTTTTTGCATTTTATGCAGCCCCCTCCAGATTGGCTCCATATTGCACCAGGGCCAAAGCAGATGCCTGACTGGTCATGGTCGTGACCAGAAGCCAGTCAGGCACATACCCTCTACATGTCGTTAGAATTTGTTGTGTGTAGCACTATCAGTGGAGGAGCTTTCAGGCTTCACACTCCCAGGAATATAAAGGTGTCTCTTAATTTCACACTATATAAGTGTTGTAATGAGGTCACACCGACCTCGTTCTTCAATGCAAAGGCAACAGGATTACCGATTCCGACCTTTCTCTGGGCGTCAACCGCGGGCTCCTGTGGGAAAACGAATCAAACTCTCTTACAACTCGTCTTCTTGCTGAAGCATCCATGAGCATTAGGCTTGATATAAAAGCTGTCACCCCTGAAGGAAGCTATTCAAGCGCCAGATTACTAGGTCAATGACTAGATGAAGGGTTTAAGCGATGCCCGTTCTCAACTTATGGTCCCCTAACTCCGCGTCCTGCTATGAAGGGCTGGCAGGACGCATCAAGAAGGGCAATGCTGAAGTCGAGATGGCTTCAGAAGGTACTGATTGCGAGGGGAGAAGGAAATGGAGATAACCAATCAAAACAGTGGCAAAAACCCATCAACGGCGCGAAAACAATGCTAGGGTAAGAAACGGTGAAATCATTGGAATTAGATGCGCGTTTCATCAGTTTTCAAGGAATTCAGTCGAAATAAATAAAAGTCAAACCATTACTCTCCAAATCATTCAAAGAATTCTATGGACTGTGCAATGTCCATACAATGTCCGAAGACCAGATGATATGATGTCGAGTTTTTTGACTACCGAAATGATATCACACCATTTTACCTACATTTTACCAATTGTATGAACTTTCGATGTGAGCCAAACTGATGAAAAAACTACGTGAGGAAGTCGGGGGGGGGGGGGGGGGGAGGGGGAAAGGGAGACACTTGGGAGTGTGAAGCCTGGCTCCGCTGATAGTGCTCCACACAGCAAATTCTAACGACTTGTCGAGGTTATGTGCCTGGCTGGGTTCTGGTCACGACCATGACCAGTCAGGCACTTGCTTCGGCTCTGGTGCAATATGGAGCCAATCTGGAGGTGGCTGCATAAAATGCAAAAACGGCGGAGCCTCGGAAATCCGAGCCACTAAAGACGTACACAGTGAATTGTTCCAACAACGTGGGGTCAGGTTATATCACACAACTACATTAGTGGCAAGTCTACTTGAAGCTGGAAGTGTTCTTCCCAGTTTGAGAGAAATAGTTCAGTTCCAATACCAGTTTAATGTTCTACAATTCATACAGTTTTCATAGCCAAATAGGCATGCGGAAAAGTCATGAAAAGCGCCTGCTCTGCAAAATGCATGGAAAGAGAGAAGGCCTACGACATATTGCTTCTCTCGGTCAGGGCGAAAATTGGCATGAACTGCCGACATTGTGAATGAGGACACTATCGTCAGCGAAAATGAGCAGAAGAGGGAGATACCCTATCTGTATCACTGTAATGAGAAGGAATAAGGAACAGGGAAGAAGATGTTCGGAGAAGATCAAAAAAGAAAGGGAGCAAGAAGAGCAAAAAGGGCTGAAGGAAAATGATGAATGAAGAGGAAAGAGGAAAGCAGTAGATTAAAGAAGGGACAAGGTACAGGAACAAAGCATAAAAGTCAAGGAGTAAGATAAAGAGAACGGAGTAAAATTAGGGGAAATGGAAGAAGAAGAAAAGGAACTGAAAAGGAAAGGAAGGACTGAAAACAAATAAGAAGAAAGAGAAAAGACAAGAGGAGGAAAAAGAAATATGAAGGAAAAGAAGAAAAGCTGGGAAGGAGGAAAGATGAAGATGAGATAAGATGGATTACAAGTAAGAAGGAGGAAGAAAATAAAAAAAGAGAAATAAGGAAGAAGAAAAGAAGAAGAAGCAAGGAGGAATAAGAACAAAAAGGGACAAGAAAAAAATAAAGAAAAAGAAGGGACAAAGAAGATGACGGAGGAAAACGAAAAATGACAGAGAATTGAGAAGTAGCAAAGGCAAGAAGGAGAATGGCCAAGAAAAATGAAGCAAGATGAAAGGGAGCGAGAAGTAGAAGCATGAAGGTAGGACATTAAAGATTAATAACGAAGAGGGGAAGAGAAGAATGATCAAAAAATAGATCAGAATAAAGAATGACGAAATAATGGAAAGGGAGAAGTTAAAGGAAGGAAAAAGAGTGAGAAAGAAAGAGGAAAGACGAAGAAGTAAGAAATCGAAGGGGAAAGAAGATTGAAGACAAAGAAGAAGGAGGAAGACTGAAGAAAAAAGATGAAGAAGAAAGAGGTTGGAGTAGGGAAGGTTTGGATTTGTAGTAGAGAATTTCAAAAAGGGGTTCAGGTACGAAAGAGGACGACGTGTAACGTAGTCTTAGTGGAAGGGAGTCGCTAGTAGGAAGTAACGAAGGAAGAAGAAGAAGAAGAGCAAACAAGAAACACAAAATTGGAAGCGGGAAGAAGGAATAATAAGGAAAAGGAAGGACATGAATGAAAATGGAAAAAGAGTGGAGATATGAAAAGAAGAAGAGAGAAAAAATGAAAAAATGAAAAAGAATCAGGAACAAATAAAAAGGAAGAAGGAAAACGAGGAAAAAGAAGAAAAAAGCAGGGCGAAGGAGGAGTGAATAGGACCTAAGATCAGGGTTGAACAAGGAAAAGTAAGAAAGAGTAATGAGGGAGAAAATGGAAGAGGAAGGAGAAGAAGATGATGAAGAAAGTAGAAGAAAAGTCAAGAAGAAGAAGCAAGGGAAAGATTAAACAAGACTAAGAATAAACAAAAAAAGGAAAACGGTAGTGAACAAAAAGGAAGCGAAAACAAACGAGAAGAATGAAGCAGGATTTAGAAACAAAGAAGAAGAAGCAAGAAGAGAGAATAAAACGAAAAGGGAAAAATAAACAAGAAAGAAGGAAAGAAACATGGGGCATGAATGAGAATGATCATGAAGAAAAAGAGGCGAGAAGAAGGAAAAGCAAAAGTAGGAAGAAAGGAAATGTAAAGGAGAAAAGAGGAAATAGAGGAAATAAAAGGGAAGAAGAAAAAGTGAAGTGGAGCGTAATTTGAGTTAGAGCAAATAGAAAGAATGAAGAGAGTAGTAAAAAAGACGGAAAAAGTAGACAGCAAAAAGGAGAGAGATGAAAGAAGAAAGAAGAAAAGGGAAGAACAAGATGGAAAAAAAGATTTGAAAGGAACCACAAGTAGGACTGACGTCCGATGGATAACTTGCGGATGCGTTTAACGCCTGGTACGCTAGGTGGATACTCACCACTATCCAATGTACGCCAAAAAATCGAAGATGAGGTGGGCCGGATACGTTATGCGTATAGTGATGACGTTGGACCAGGGCGGTTACTGACTTGTTCTCGGGACATCAACGAACTCCAGGAAAGCCACCAATGAGATGGTCAGACTTCTTCACGAAAGCTCTGAACGAAAGGAATGTTCAGCCTCGTGTCGCTGAAGCGAGGACGATTCACTGGACCGCTCTGGCTCGTGACAGAGGCGAATGGAGAGTTACTGGCGCCCGATCGAGAAAGNAGGTGATACATGTGATACGCTAGGTGGACAGCTTGTAAGCATAAACAGAAAAAATCAGACCCTATGCCATGCCAGCCGTACTAGGCCGTAGCGTATACGTGTAAGCACGACTGATTCGCTCTACACGACACAAACACAAAAGGACTAATGGTTCACTTTTGACTTTCCTACTTCTGTGATCCAAGGTCTATGTGTTAACATTCAAGAAGGGTTAGTATAATAACGAAAACAACAACTAAAATAGGTTCGCTTACTTCGACCCACTGCTCGACCAGTTCCATGTAATGTAAAGTAGTATGAAAGAATAGCCGGTATAATCGCATATCTAGCATCACCATAGAAGAAAGGAAGTCCTAGAGCTGCAGTCTTGTGGGCTTGATGACAACGCGACACGCTACAATCGAATAGACCAACTAACCTAAGAATTCGTGCCTCAGGCGACCGTACATGCACCGTCCGTTGCCGCATAATAAAGAATACACTATGCGGATTCGCGACGACAGAAGCCCGCGAGCATGGGCGCGCTGCCCACAGTTTCTCGGAGCAATCCCAGTATTCGCGACAAGGAAGAAGGAATAAGAAAGGCTAAGAAATTAAAGGGAAGACGGAAGAACGCGAAGAAGATGGGAGTAAAGCAATGGAAAGGAAAGGAAAGGAAGGAAGAAAGAGGGAGAAGGAGGAATGACGAAGAAAGAGGAAGACGATGGAAGCGGAATATGGAGTAGGGAAGATTTGGGTTTGTGCGACATGTGCCGTATTCGTAGTGAAACGGAGTCACTAGAGCTCGGATTTTGTCGTAAACCGCCCCACTTACAATCCCGCTTCCGAATTGGTATGCACACGACATTCTGAATAAGCTCACCTTCGTGCTCCTATCGTCTCGTACTCCTTTTGTTAACAGCGCATGCTGCTATGTCTCTAACTTTTCAAAATCGATGGAACACAGTCAAACGAGCTCTTTTCTACATTTCAGAATTTTGTTCAGCAGTTGTTGTTGGTTGCGCTGTCACCACAGGATGAAAAACCGCCGCATTAAAATGCTAATAAGTGTGAAGAGGAGGGAGTGTGCAATAAAGTAAGAGTTAGCCTAGTGGTCGTGAAGCGGTCAAAATCGTGTGTGCACCCTGGTAAGACTCGAGTTCGATCCCTGCCAAGGAAGAACGTGTTCTGCAAGAATTGAAAAAAGTTTTGTCGAAGAACCCTTTTCGCAACAGAAATGGTCGAAGTAATTGAAGATGGGGATATCGTACGACGCCACTCGGAAGTGGAACGCAAGATCTTGCGCCGAGTTCTGTGGGCCAACAGTATGTACTGGCTTTGATCGTTGGAGGGAAGCCTGGGAAATTGCTGATCTGATGCGGCGTAGGAACACTCGAGCTCTGTGTCTAGAGTAGACACGATGGAAGCAAACAAGCGGCTAGGGATTCGAAGAATGTGTCGATCTCTACTACAGCAGATAAAACAACAAAAGAAATGGCGTGGCCGTAGCAGTAGCGGAGTCCCTGAAAATATCTCTGTTGAGCATCAGCGATCTAATTAGGAAAAGGGGACTAGAGTTTATGCGTGGAAGAGGGATGCCAAACAGTAATATCTTTGTGCGCACTGGAGATCGTCTACTCTAAATACGAAAAGGATGAAATCTATCGCAGCAATGACGACTTCATTAGGTTTTCAGTGTGAGAAGGAGCGCGTGATCGAAATGGTCAAGTTTACAGTGAGCGAGGGGGTCTAGAAAAGGCTCACACTGGTAGAAGAATAGTAGTCACAAACGATGTCTACAGTGCTACTGCCTGCAGTCCATGAATCCAAACACCTTCTCTGTATGGTAGACCTAGGAAGTAATCTACAGAAAAAGTGGAGAGAAACAATAGATCATATGGGCGTACAGAGTTTAAACGCCAACGGCGGTGGCGATCAGACTCTGTGTGGCGAAGGACTAGGCTTATAGCACAGGTCTTTTCAAGCAACGGTAGACATCGAGCTCCTCAAGAAAGTAAGGATGGAAACGGGGTGGAGAATTTGGTGGCGGAAGCTCCACTGAGCGGAAAAGCAAGACCTAAAACGGAAGGTACTGGAACATGTTTTTCCAGATCTGGAAGGCTTAGGCTTTGAAGAGGTTATCTTGCATGGGCAGCGCTGGAGAAGTTTCGAGATGAGTTTTGAGGAGACAGAGCAGTAAGAATCGTGTGTGGAATGGAGAGTAGCAGGGTTCTTGGACAAAATGCGGGCGGTTACCCCGATTAGAGTGGAAGCCTAAGCATATGAGCCTTGACCAACCATCTGACTGGTTCGGAGTGCGGATAGCAGGCGATCTGAATAGCCACAGGGAACAGAGGAAAGTGCTAAAGGCTCAGGCAGACAAGAAAGAGTCGGAAGCTAGAATTGTAGAAGTGACTTCCTGGAGTTAACACAACCTAGCGGTCGCAGCGCCTTCCTCGAGAAAATAAAGAGAGAGGCAAAGGGAAGTAGATCATGTGCCTCAAGAGACCGTTCTTCAGATTATTGAGGATATCAAAAGCGAAGAATCGGCTCTGCGGCCTAGGGCTTTTAGAGGACGGTCATTGTGTTTATCAAGAAGTCAAGAGGAAGAATGGAGCAGTTGTCCAGAGCTGTACCAAGCTGGTAAGGAGCTCAAACGATAGGTAAACGCGCGTGAGGAAACGATAGGCAAACGCGCATGATAAACCCTTGTTGAGAACTGATGAGGATCTCGTGCTGGAAGTAAACTTTGTGCTGCTGTGGGCATGTAGTTTAGAATTTCGCCTTCAAACTCATCAGTTGTTTAATGTAGGTACATCCTTCGTCTAGCAGCTCACAGTATTCGACACCGTGAGCGCTCCACCAGATGTAGAGCATAACCCTCTTGGCGTGTACGTTGCGTTTGAGGAGGTCTTCTGCATACGCACCTTTGTCAACCCATTGAGCACGCCTGTGAAGTAGAGTAGTGAATCTACTTCTCATCCCGGCGGCTAAGGGCTCAACCACGGGTGGGTGCGCTTGAACGTGCGGAGAGAAAGTGCCATGTCGGTCCTGCTGTCCATGTCATACTGCTTCAAAGCTTGGACACCAAGCTTTCGTACGTTGCCGATTGACTTTAATCCACAAACAACTGTGGACTGGCTCACGCTATGAGTGACTGCTACTTCACGAGTAGTTTGATACAGATGGGCTTCCACGTGGCTCTGCAGCAAGTCCAAATCCAACTCCACGGGGCGCTCTCGACAGTCTTCATCTCCGGTGAAATAGTCGCCCGACGCGAATCTCGAGTGCCACTTGTAAATTGTGCTTCTAGCAGGAACGTCCTCCTTGTAAACTTCCTTTCCACGTCTATCGATTCCTGCGGGTTCTTGGCCAGATAAAAATAGAAATAGGATGGTGGTGCGGGTGGAGTTGCGACGGCTTGAAACCATGGGGTATAGTTGCAGCAAAGGAAACATTTAGATGTGACTGTTACTATGTGTTTGGAAGAGCCTCTCTACTCTATATAACCATGCCCCGAGCGTTCATTTTCGTCACCTCTTTCCCCAGTTATGTAGAAGTCTTCAGTATCTCATTGCCCGAGGACTTATGACTCAGCCTAATAATTTCGGCACATAACGGAATCGTGCGGGGAGGCGGAGTTGATCATCATGACGAGCCCTTCATTAGTCTGTCCGTTGTTTTATATGAAGTACTGTTCCGGTGCTAATGAAATGTCCTCGAAATTTTCTGATCATCAGAACAATACCTGAGGGTAGATTCGTTGTCGAAGGAGAATTTGCGATATTTCAAACAACTTTCAAATGCTGAAAAGCGGTATGCTCCCGATTCTTCATAATGGGAAGAGAATATCAGCCCTGCGAGTCCGTACAACCCTCTGGGACATTTCCCCAAGGTATCCTACCCAAGATATTCTATGCGGCATCCGGAGTAAGCTTCTTTAGGGATAGCAAGCTTCTGGAGGGTCTGAGGTGATAGCTTGCAGGTAAACCAGATCCTGATCGGCCCTGATCCTTGTAGTGCGAATGTTCTCTTTTTTCTAGCCTTTTATGATCAAAATTCTTCAGGCGATTCTTTAAAAAAACAACGTTCATTAAGAAAAACGTACGTTGTATTTAGTTACAAAACTATTTTTTTGAAAAGGTTTTTTTGCTTCTAATATATGCGAGCAAGTCTTTCGTTTCTTTCTGCAAGCTGACGGTGAGCCGTTGATCGGGGTCCCCAAAGCTCTGCATCCGGCTTGAATAAGCGCATCGGATTCATACGATTGCGATAGAAGTACCAAACCTGGAATTCACTATAAAGCCCTGAAATCAAATTTAATTTTATTTTATATCGAAAGAAAAAATAGTGTGTGCTCGGCAATTGAAAAAAAGTAATCACTAATGAAATAAGCCTAGAAATAAGAAGGAAAGAAAGGAGTAATGGATTAGCTCCTGGACCACTTGGAGTATGGATGGAATCAATCTCATAGTGGCAACAAATAGAAGGTGGTCGGAAAAGATACTCGTCCAATAAATATTTTAGGATCAAATTTTCCCTTTTCGATAGCCGATTACCCATGAAACGATGCAGAATTGAAGATCGTAATTGTTTAGAGTAGGGAGTTAATCTCGTAAAGAATGCGAGTGATGATAGCGCCTCTTCCTTTTGCCCTACCGGTTCACCAATCAACTACTCCGCTAAATGGTGGGATGGTTGACTGTTTGGCTCTCAATATCTTACAAGGTCTTTCAGGGCGTGGGACGCTTTTTGAAATTGGTTTTTCGNGAGGCGAATGGAGAGTTACTGGCGCCCGATCGAGAAAGCCGATGATCAACGGGACGACAGGTGATACATGTGATACGCTAGGTGGACAGCTTGTAA